TGTTGGAAATTGAAGCTTTACATACCTAAAGAAATGTATTTTGGTTATATTAATACCTTATTTAACAATAGTTTTTCAAAAATAGATTTTGGATATACATTGAGCTGCACACAGCAAAATCCTGAAGCAATGGTTGCCGGTCCTGAGTTTCTACACCGTTATGTTGGAGGTTTCCTATCTCCATAGCAGCAAGACCTATATCAGGATGAGTGTATTTGTATGTCTTGGAACAACACTGTTTTCATTTTATTCAATGGCTCATTTTTCTTCCAAATAGAACTCATTTTAAGTTTTAAGAAGCCTTTTATTTAAACACTTTCATTACGATATCTATTTGGCAGCAATATCTAACAAGCTTCTCTGAGACACGGGACAACTTTTTGATAGACTTTGCAACTCTGTCAGAAGCAGAACTCAAACTAAATATGTTGTTTAAAGTAACTATGAAAGTTATAATAAAAGGAGTGTTGTTAGTATCAAGAAGGTTTTCAAGGCAAGGTCCAATAGCTATCCTCTTTCACATAGAGAAGAAATAAAGTACTTAAATTAGAAAAAACGAAAAAAGGATACCAATAGCAATAATACTCATTTGCCCAAAGCTAGAGAAAAATACGTTAAGAGATATGTTAAATATTTGCTGAAAAAACAAACTTTACCTGCTTATATGTGAAGACCCATGAACCATTTCACAGAATAAGACCAACCTCCCGCCCCCACATATTTCCCTTATTCCTCAAAGATCTAAAGAGATCACATCTAAACCAAGAGTCCCAGACTTTTCCAGTTATTCATTCTCTTCTCATTTTGAACATTATTTACTACTTTCCCCCTCTAAATAATATATTTTTATTCTGAGAGTCTATGCTGCCTCAGTGGGGTGGCCTAGGAATAGACTCCAGGAAGTCCCCAAACCTCTAAAATGCATATAAGTCTTGTGTTAGAAGGTCATCTGCACAGTTTGGGAGGGTATGGTCTATATCTTTTATCTTTTATCCAGGTCTCAATAAAAGTGAAGACCCACTGGCCAACTGTAGCAGTTTCCAAAATAAAATATAAAGATGATACAGTGGGGTAAGAGAAGAAAATACTAAAATTTCTATTCACGCTCACAAATAAAAAGTTTTACTACTATATCGTAGACTATAGGTTTAAAGCAGCATATTAAATTTATTAATCACAAGTATTAATATGTACATTATCTTTACTTTTTATACCTATAATATATTGTCAGTGTACTTGAATATTCTACTCACAGCATTCAGGAACCCAAAAAGCTGGGGCACTCCGCTTTAGATTAGTGAATATCATTTATGTTATAAGATTTTTCAGGGCATCTTTAATTTGCATAGGGCAAGAGGTGAAGGAGCCGTAAATTCTTAAATACTGATATATTTTTATTCACTTCAATTTTGCACGATACAAGTTATTTGGGGAAAAAGGCAGCTCACGGTGAGGGATCAGTGGCTGTACGCTGCACAGCCCCGAGTCACTGAGCATCGCTGTTTCTAAAGGCACAGAATTCCATGACCGTGGCCACTGTAATGTCCCCAAAGGCATCAGGTTGTTCCTCCTTTTCCAGGTGTGAAATATTTTGGATTGTCCAACCTCCGTAACAGCATTTTTGTTTCTCTTCGTCCTGTTTTAGTTTTCTCTGAAGTCAACTCATAGTTCTTTGATCAACACAGTTGGGTTTGGCAACATTTGGGACTAAACAAGCATCTTGGCAGATACTTTAAGATTGGGGCATTATGCAAAGTCCTTTTCTGCCAGGCAGTTTTCTCCACAATGGTAAACTTTATTGGCAATCTAATATTGTGAACTTAAACACTAAATGCATTGAAAGGCAGCACAAACTTATCCAAAATCTTGTACCAGAAGTGTCTGAGATTAAGTGCAGATCTGCCATTTATATTTTGTCCTAAGATACAATGTTTAAATCTAAAATATTAACATTTTCCTGAAACTAAGTATATTCTGATAGAAAAGAATCTACACCGATGATAAAAGAAGCCTGGCTTTTAGACTATCACTTTCCTTTCCTTTTGCCTTTTTTTTTAAAAAAAAGAAAATCTATGCATTTATGAAGCTTTTGCTATTTTTTTGGGCATGCACTGAATATGGAAAGAAGGGGGCATAAAGAATAAAGTAAGGGGATGATTTTGGATGAAAAAGTGTGTGGACTGTGTGAGCGTGCCAACACAGACGCAGGTGTGACAGGTTAAGAGGGAAGCTACTTAAAGAGAAGTAGAGACGGCAATAAAACCTAAAATGTTTACAGTGGCTTAAAGTAAGAATACCAAAGGAGAACACATCATCAACATAATAAAAGAAGTATTTAAAAGGGAGTCATACTGTACTGATTATCTGGAAGCAAACATGCAAAGAGAAGGAAACTCAAGGCAACAAAGACGACAAAGGACTTAATACTTCCCAAGCTCCTGGCTTTCACAACAGCGTGATTCTTCCACTTCTCACTACCCAAATTTTTCAGGAGGATTTGAGAAGAATCCCAAGAAAGAGCATGCATTACAACACTGTAATCCTTGGTTTAAAATGACATCTGGGCGCTCTCTGCTTAATAAAGCAAGCTGTCCCTGCTTTTACCCTGTGATTAGACAAGGGAATTGCACTTTGCTATCATCTCTGTAGCACTGAGTTTTTGTTTTGCAGATTAGTCCTTCTTACAGGAATTGCAACACCTCTGGCCTAGCCTCTTCTGGTGGCTGGCCTCCCACCTGTCCCATCATATCCCCCCATTTTTCCCCCCTTCAAATCTGCCTTCACTGAACTTTGCAAGTACAGCCATTTAAGAGTGACACAGCAGCAAAGTGCACAATCAGGCAAAACAAACTCTTTCTGTTCTATTGTTAAGTGAAGGGCAGTGATCTAGCGAGCTACCCCAACAGTATGTATCAAAGAGATTCCTTTTCTCTTATTAATAATTATTTCTCCAGGTAAAATCCATACACTTCAACTACTACAGTAATTCTTTAACTCATTCTCTTTGAGACTATTAACCGTTGCTTTAACAGGGATTGAAGGTGGCTTTCAAGCATTATATAGCCCTGGACATCCTTCGGGCTTTGTATGTAAAACTCCATTTGGGCAGTTTCCCAGTTGGGGAGTCTCAGGGGCCCAACCCTACCCCCGGAGCTATGTGAAATGGGCAGTTTCCTTCACTTGCCCGGGCCCCCACAGGACACCGCGTGCTGCCCTAGGACAGCTCCTAACCCAACCGTAGGACAGGCCTGGCTGGGTCTGCCTTGGCCTGAGTGGTAACGTCACAGAGAAGAATTTGAAGGAAAGGTTAGTAAAATGCAGAAGCAACTCGAGAGTAACATGAAATTCCAATGTCGAATATCACCACTTTCTACTCACACTTTGGATAAAATTCCGAGGACACAGCGCGGATCACTCTCTGCGGTTCCCGGCCTTACCCACGCTGTTTCTGAGGCTGCCGTCCGAAAGCACGCCTATGAGCATACTGTTTCTCCCTCTAACTGTTGCTGTCTCCCTTACCTACTCGTTTTAAAACCACTGGGGAAGGAAGCAGAGGCCAATGGTCTGCTTTTTTTCCTGTTTTGCTTTTTTTTTTTTTCTTTTGTAAGATTTGTTTGGAACAAAGGGCTCCTTGGCAATGAATAACAATGATGATTACCCGTCATCACCGCACGCGCACCTTAACCTGAATAACAGCTCCCTTCGTGACTTGTGTCTCAGCGGTCTTTCTGTCCTCTCCTCACCTCCAACTCATCCCAGGCACCTTGCCACCCAGGGCGCGCTATGCAGCTCCAAGACCCCGGGTGTGCTTGCTGACGGGCTTGGGCCAAGTCCTTCCCCTCCTGCTTGACGAGCTCCTCTAAGACCAGGACACTTCTGCAGGCACTGAGTGCTCCCACGGAGTGTTGAAGGGATTTACCTTATGCTCATTTTTCATTTTCCTTTCTTGAGAGAACGGGTCCCACTTTATCTCTGAATTCCCAAAACAACATTCTTCCTGGCACATGGTAGTCACTCAAGAAACGATGATTAAATAAACGAAAATGACCCAGGGAATATATGTGCATGGAGGTTCAAACTTCGCCTTTTCTTACAAAATCTAGATGGAAATAAAAAGATGAGGGAACATGGGAAGAGATTTTTTAACGTTATTTCTCTTTGCTTCTTGATGCAAACGCCTTTAGAAAACATCAGGGGAACTCTATGCTTGCTTGAGAAATCGGTATAAAGAGCAAGTTTATTCTGTGTCCTAGACACTAAATAATGGGGGGAAGAAGCCGTGAATGAAAAGAATAAAATCAGAAGAAACAGCTTGTGGAATTCTCTGGAAAAACAAGCTGATAGGGAAGCAGCCTTGGGACCCAGATTGTTTTTTAGGATGATCTGGCAACAAGATTCCGAACCCTTCACCCCAGCCCTGTCACAGGCCCTCTCTCTTCATTCTTCTCTCCATCTTCAACTCGACTCTTAAAACTGAGCTCCTATTTTGGTCCCTGTTTCCTTGAGAACCTACCTCCAGGTTCTCTGCCCATGGCTACCATCAGTGGTCTGGATCTGAAAATGTACCCGTGACCCCTATCCTCTAAACTGAATAAGACAGAGGGAGGGAACTCCTTATAGATTTTAGCATCCAGTTGTGGATTTTGAGTGCATTCTATCATGGAAATGTTGTATGTTTATTTTGCTTAAGATCCACAAAGTTTTCCATAATTAGTGAGCCTTTATAGGCTGGCCTGGGGGAACTATCACAGATTATTTCATTTCTCTGGGAAAGGACACACTTCATGACTTTTTATTTAGATAAAGTATGAAACTTATAGAAAGTTTGCAGGACTAGTACAAGGAATTCTCAGATAGCTTTTACTCAGATTACATTTTCTTCTTTGGGTTTTGGGTGTAAACTCACGCACATACAAACACACAGAAAAAATTTATTTTTTTAATTCTAATTAACTTAAAAACTTAAGAAAACAAATTATTAACAAACTGGAGTCTGCTTAAATATTTTTATAAAGGAGACATTTTATTTTATGCTTTTAAATTTCCTTTAATTCCTATTACTTTCCCTATTATAAGGGTTCAGTTACAGACAGAAAAATGTATTTGTCTTTATTTTCCTTTTAAGTACTTTTATTAACTTCATATAATTGTGAGACTATATATTTTCCCAACACCTATAGCAATATGACTGGTATTTAATGAGACACATTCAGTACTTCGAAATATTGGGGAATCACTTAGTAAATAATAATCATTGAAATATCTATAGTGGTACATATGAGATGTTAGAGGCCAATCAGTAATTACTTTTTATTCCTGAGGTCACCATGGGGTAGCCTGGGAACTACTGAAGATAATTAAAAAACTTTTTAATTGAATTACTTTTTAGAACCCCAAATAAGCATTCAGTTTATCTATGGCTCTGCTAATAGTGATTTAAAAATTATAATGTTCATCTTTTTCTTGCTTTGAAGTTGAGCTCTTTTAAAATCAAAGCCTTTTTAAAGTTTCGTTCATCAGAGATCTTAGACTAACATATTAAAAATTAAAGTTCAAGATCCAGAAAAATGTTTAAAATTTTCCCTAATAAAAATCACAGCATAATTTTCTTCATAAACACTAACATTCTATTTAAGCAATATCATTGAGATACTTCAACTAGAATAAAACATTCACAGATGTGTACTTAATGAGACAAAATAAAACAAAAAACCTGATGATTCTTAGGAAATATCCACACTCTAAAGTATTCAACACAAATACTTAAAAATACACTGTCAGAAAAGAACAAGCCTTATTTCCTACTTCTGAACTTAGATTTTCTTACTGAAACTCTTTATGGCTCAGCATGGTAATAGAGTATGTCTGCTGAAATAGACCCAAATTACTGCGTGTGTGTGTGTGTGTGTTTATGGGGGGGTGTATGCACATGTAAATACTTTATTTCCGTACTTTATGTTGTGTTCCCTAAATGCTTACTTTCTTCCCATGTTGCTTCTGGTTGAATTAAATCAGAATGATATTATTGCATTTTAATATAGGCTATAAGCCTCTTTTATTCTGAATGCTATAACATAGAAATTAATTAATAGGAATTAAATTGCTAATATGAATTAAAATAGCCTTTACCATATGTGGAATAAAAAAAATGTCAAACAAAAGGAAATATTTATTGTTAATGGCACATGATGTTATGAAGAATATTTTGGTAAAATAATCTTTGATATTTACAGAAGACCTATTTTATATCCATATTGCATCTAACCCAGAATTGCTTATTTTCTTAAAAAAAGAAAAAAAAAGTGCAACAGAAAAAAAATCCCTCAATCCATTTTGTCATATATGCTAAAAATTAAATGAGAAAACGTAATAAAACTCAGCATTGAAAGGCTCAAAGAGCTTACGGTATCGAAGACTATGATTTCTATTCAAAAGCTTTTTTAAGGCAGCACTATCACAAACACACCAATAACCATGGCATTCCACCAGGACACAAGACTGCAAGTGGCTCCATCACATTGTACAGGCTGCTACAATGACCTGATATATGTACAATGTGCTAAATTTTGAGTACAGCTAGTGATTGTTATATAACAGAAATCTCCCCCAAAAGTCACTTTTCAAGGTTTCCTTTTTATTTTCACTGAAGAGCTGAAGTCTTGAAGTGAATACATTTTTGTCACGTTAAGTGGAAGAATAGGTCGAAATTCGGAATTAGCTCCTGAAATTTTAATGCTGCTTTTAACCACCTGCATCCTAAAGTGCTTTCAGAGATTCTACACAAGCTATAAGGAGTCAAACCCCAAAGACTAATCATCAGGTATATATTTCACTAATCTACTCCTGATGCTTTGCCTAGAAAATTGGCATTGCCATCTTCAACATCTTGCTTTTGGAACCATGGTTTTGAATTTGTTCCTTGTTGATACGCTTCCAGAAAATGACAGATTCCAGGAATTTCACTGGGGAAGTTTGGTGGAAGTTCTTCCCTTGATCGAGGGGTAAACACAAAACCGGGACAGTCTTTGAGTAATCTGAAATAATAAAATAATTACTATTAAAATTTAATACTGACATAACTGTCTACTCAAGAAAAGGCAACATAACTAAATGAATATTCCTCAAAATATTAATAAACTATTTTCACTGTGATTGGAAGAAAGCTCCTAATGATGTTATGAACATCTTCACGGAAGAAGTACAATGGAAAAGCAATTCACAATAACTAGAAAATTCTATCAAATAATACATTTCACTCATAATAGAAAAAAATTAACCATAAAATATCTTTGCAAAGGCATAATCTATAATCCATACAACAGTATAACACACAGTAATGGTGGAAAAACACACACACAAAATAATCCAAAGATCTAATAATAGCAAAAAACACACCCATAAACATAATGTTATAGAATAAGGCTTCTTAAATTGAAAGGGTTAAAACATTGCCCATTTACTGATTCACTCATTTTGTAAATATTACTGAGAAATAATCATGGGCAAGAAGTTCTAAAGGAAATGTTCTATATAAGCCATATGCATATATATAAAATAATGTAAGAATAACTTTTGATCTCTCAATAGAATTTTTACAAAGTTAAGGTTAATAGGACTAAAATGAGATTTAATTGTACATATTGATACTCTACTTTCTATCTGGTGTTTGCAATAATTTTCCTTCTTAAATTCATTTGTTCTACTCAATTTTTTTTATTTGCTACGAACTACTCCATTATGCTAAACTCATTTTAAATTTTGACCCTATTGATTGAGTTACTGGGTCCTCTTCCTGTTTGCTTCCTTAGTTTTCTGTCAAATGCAAACTTAATATGCATCTCTTTATTGTATTATTTAGGCCGTGGATGAAAAATGTTGAATAGTTCTGGGATCTAAACCAACTCCTACAGAAATTATTCGCCACATCTGCCCAACCAGAGAATGGCCTTCTACTGATGCTTTAGTCATGAATTCATAAATACCCCTTGGCCTATTATTTATAAGGCATAATATTTGGCAATATGTAATGAAAAGTTACAGAATCCCATAATAAAAATATAAACTTCAAATTCTGGTAGACTTAGTTTTGAAGAGCAACTAAAACGTGTACTACTCATACTGCAACTAAAAGGAGTCAGTTTTCTAACTTTTGAAAGTGGGATTAGCAGTACACGTTTCTAGGACAGTTGTGACAATTAAATAAATCAATTAAAAAAGGCAGATTAAGCATCAATTAGATATCACATAACACCCATGATTTTGGTAACAATAAATAAGTCTGATAATATCAGACTTTGAAGAAGAGAAACAAACCTTCATATATCATTGGTGGAATATAAATCAGTAAAAGCAATTTGGACAGCTAATTGACTTCCTTAGTAAAGTTGAAACTGGGTACAACCTATGAAATGGGAATACCATTTATAGGTATATTATCTAAAGATATATGTATAAGAATATTTATCAAGTCACTTTTATAGTAATAAAAACTGATACACTCTAATTAACCATAGGGAGAAGGCAAGTTCTGGTTTACTCATACTCTAGAATACACAGTATGTCATATGCACATATAGTGATGTGCTTGATCTGGCTTGCACTGGCTTGTGAGAGTGAACTGTTAAACATTCAGGAATTTTACAAGCCATCAGTGGCCTGAAACCTGCCACTAAGGTGGGAGTATTTACACCATGGAAATTGGTAAATGCTAGAAATCAAGGATTCTCTACTTCACTCCCCAAAGCTGGTTCACCAGCACACCACTGCATTAGAAATAGTATGAGTAAATGAACTAGATTTATAAGAACTAGATTTACATTTCATCAAAAAAAATCTCAAAAACATAATGTTGAGTGGATTCAAGGCAAATTGTAAAAAGATATGAACAGGACTGGTGGAAATCTACTTTTCTCTGACTTTATTTTTTTATCTGGAGGAAACTAAATGAAGAAAGTTATACTCCTGACCTCTTTCTGCCCGTTTTCCTTGCTGGTAAACAGAAGCAACATATGTTATTCCTCTACTCAGTGCCTTCCTGCCTCTCTCTTTAGGAGCCTGCTTGTCTACAGGAAGTATATGTTCTCAGATGTTCCTACAAATCTTAAGGGATATAAAACCCAGTGTATCAGAGAGAAAATGGGGGCCAGGGGCCTGTAATATTTTATTTCTTTCATAAAACAGGGATCTGAAACACAGATGACAAAATGTTGACATTTGTTAAATATTAGTATTAAATATCATATTTTTTTAATTTTTTTTCCCTGTATGTTTGAAATGTTTAAAAGTAACTGTAAAAATGTATATAATTATAACGGTTTAATAAATAAAAATGTATAAAACTAGAGGTGATTGGTAAATTTAAAAACTATGTTTCTGCCCACATTCTCCCAACATTTCCTATTAATATGGTAATTACAGTCATAACCTTTCTATCACTTGAATTTATTAAGTGCTTTGCTCAAGATCTCACATCTGGTAAGCCTGTATTTGCAACTTGTAAGACACGTCTTCTGAATACAAATCACAGGCTTTTGAAAGAAACTTACAGATAAATACAGAGTGTCACAGAGTGAGAAATGTTCATTAGATCATTTCAAATAAAGATCAAAATTTATAAGAAAAACAGGTTGGAAAAGTAAATCCATTTAGATGAAAGCTTGATGGCAGTCAGATCCAAGAACAGCTGCAACAGTCCCAGTGCAGATGTTCATGTAGGATAGAAGTTTTCCTTTACTCCCTCTTGACCAGATACCATTTCTCCCAATAAAATAGTAAAATAATAGATTTCAGGTGGTCAATGCAATCAGTACCTGTAAGTTGTTGGGCTGACATTGATTTTCCGTGGTACACTGCAGGACTCAAATTTGTTAGCCAAGGTGACATTGTTTCCAAAAAGACAGTAACGAGGCATCTTAACTCCAACAACTCCAGCAAAAACCGACCCAGAATGCAGTCCGATTCGCATCTGAAAGCAAAAAAGAACCACAGTGTTTCTGGTCATTGGTAAAACGCTTCCCACTTGTCAGTGTTGCTTGACTGCCTTGTCTAAATTATTGTACCAATCGCTCTCACCACACCACTCCCTCCTTCCTCAAAAGCCCCAGCCAACCTCCCTCTACTCCTCATAGCTGATTAAAAATGATCAGTGGAAAATCAACCACACCTCTTACCCTTCTCCATTTATGCACTTAGGTTTATTGCACAAAGCACTCTTGTTTCACCTTCCGCATCTGAGACAAATTTCCACGCATACCTATCACAGTCACCACAGTGACAAGCAAAGTGTCTATGGGCTGTTTATGTGAACCTGCTCTGTCTCTCAAGTGAGAAAGACATAACTTCTGGACTATAGGAGTCATTTCCCAAAACACTGTTAGAGAGGGGCCAAAGCAGCTAGCTCTCACTATATAAAGTGTGTGTTTTTAGGAATTTTGCTTTAAAAGAACTTTATGCTACACACTATCCCATTAATCAAATGACTAACAACCAGAGAAAGGGAATTGCAATATTTAAGTAAAAAATAACAGAGGAAGCAGGAAGTGGTTGCTGAGGCCCAGCTTATAGTGACTATATACATTTCAGTTTAAAACACCTGGACCCATGAAAAATCATGGTTGTGCCGTATCTAGATATAAGATGCAGTCTGGGATATGGCGGGGTGAAAGTTTAGGAATTCTGAAAGTTATCAATGATTTGGAGAGCTCTTGGGAAAGAATATTTGAAACTAATATCTTCTAGAAGATCTGAATGCTTGATGATCTTAAAAGAATGCACAAAGTCTTTTATTACTGCAAGTTAAAGTGGGATATTTAAATGACAATCAAATACCATGCTTATTATTTACAAGTTCCATGTTTAGTTGAAAATTTAAAAATAAGTTTTATTAGATATAGGCATTTTAAACAAAGGCCAAGTGCTCAGTAACTTAGATGCAATTTAGACTCCAGAAGACTCAGCCTTATGTATAGCTATTTTCTAATACCTGCTAAAAACGCTTCTAAATTATTTGCTTTTAAGATGTCAAATGATGAATTCTGCAAAGTTTTCAAACAAAAGCACTCTATTATGAATCAGGAGATTTGCATTCTAAACCGAACTCTACTAAAATAGGTAGCCTGACTTTCTGTAAGCCTATTTTCCTGTAATTATATCTTCATCTATAAAATGTAGCATTAGCTTATTATTATATTTTATCTTCACCAGAGGATATGTTTATTGATTTCAGAGATCAAGGAAGGGAGAGAGGGAGAGAGAAAGAGAGAGAAACACCACCAATGTGAGAGAGACACATCAATTGGTTGTCTCCCGCAGGAGTCCCAGGCAGAGCTGGGGATCGAGCCTGCGACTGAGGTAGGTGCCCTTCGCCGGAATCAAACCTGGGATCCTTCAGTCTGAAGGCCGACACTCTAACCACTGAGCAAACCAGCCCAGTCAAACCCACAACCTTTTGGTGCACGGGATGACACTACAACCAACTGAGTCACCGAGCCAGGGTAGGATTGGATTATTTGTAAAGCCTGTTTGTCACTTTTTTTTTTTCCAGCAGCAAAATTTAGATGATTATTACGTCGAGCTTTTTCTTCTTTTGAGAACATGGTTTTACATGTTCAATAAAATACAAAAATGATGAGAAAAATTGATCTTCTGCCTATAAATATCAATCACAAGTTTAGCACATTTAGATGAAGTTTTTGCCTTCTTTGGCATTCTTCTGATTAAACCAGTTTCTCTATCTGTACTTAGTTATTCTAGCTTTTTATATGATAAATTTATCATAGCATTTTAATTTTTCTCTTGCATAATTAATATGCAAATACATTCGCCCTGTAAAAATCCAAACAAGACAGACAAAGCACATGCCCCGTTGGCTACCTCCATGCTGCTCTCTCCCTCTTCTCCTTCTCCAGCTTCTGAATCTCACCCTCAACTCCAAAGTTTTCTTCCCAGGGAACTTTTCAAATTCAGGAACAAGAAAATGATCCAAACTTTAAGATGCACATAACTTCCTGAATGAATCTTTTTTCCCTGGGGATAGACTTTTATGTAAAATAATAAAAAACAAAGACAGAATTCTGTCTCCCAGTAAAAGTTTGGACGGAAACTTGTTAGTCTTCCATTTGGGGGCCACTTTTGACAAAGCCCTTTTCTCATTACAGGCTTCTGGGAAAAGGGAAGGAGAGGTGCCAGAAGTATGTTTTCACGTCCACTTTCCACTCATTGATTTTCACTGCTGCTTCAGCCCTCTGGCCTTTGTCATCAGTCTCTGTTCAGTTTCCTAAGCCTGGGTGGGTGGAAGTTAGTGAAGATATCAGTAAGAATCAAGGAGTGGGTGACTTGTGCATATGACACATTGTGGGGGGGGGAGAATTTGGGGGGGAAAAGGAAGAAAGGAAGTATTTCCCTTGATTCCATCCCATGGGTTAGAGGAGTAAGAAGCAGTAAAAGCCTGGCCTTTTTTTTTCTTTTTGATTTTTAAAAAATTAATTTTAGAAAGAAGAAGGGAGAGAGGGCAACATGGAATTGTTGTTCCGCTTATTTCTGCAATCATTGGTTGATTCTAGTATGTACCCTGATTGGAGATTGAACCCACAACTGAGCTATCCAGCCAGGGGAAGCCTAGGCTTTGAAGCCACACAGACATGACTTCAAATTCAGATGCTTGGGAGACTTGACCCTTTTTGTCCGTCACTGAATTGTGGGTTCCTCTTCATAATGATGTTATAAGGATTAAATGAGACAATGCTGAAGTCACAATATGTCCCTCCCCTACCTCTATACACAACAATGTTTCTCTCTACTAAACACACTCTTCACTTCTGCCTCCATGAGATTTTGTGGGTAGTGCCTAAGGCCATCAGATACTTCCTAAGAATGTAGGTTAGAACAAATAAAAAGGTATGTTTAACATCTCACTTTACAGGTCGTTAAAGCTAAACTATTATTACCCAGGCAATTATCTTTGAAACTAGCTATAAATAATTTCTCCAACTGCAAAACTCTAAAAATACATTTCTACAAATAACAAAAGTCAAGGCACTAATCCCCTGGCTCAAACATACTCATCTTAGTTACAAAATCCATTTATGTGGAAACCATTGGTTTTATTGTTAATCTGGATATTTTAAGCATTTACTTTGACGCTATAAGTTTCCTCACCAAAACCAGAGAGAGAGAATTCTCCTTTTAAAAAAGTGTAATTACAGCCCAGCCAGTGTGGCTCAGTGATCAAGCACTGACCCATGAATCAAGAGGTCCCTGGTTTGATTCCTTGTCAGGGGCATATGCCTGGCTTTGGGGCTTGATCCCCAGTAAGGGGCATGCAGGAGGCAGCTGGTTGATGTTTCTCTCTCATAGATGTTTCTGTCTCACTGTCCCTCTCCCTTCCACTCAAAAAACAATAAAATATATATATATATTTTAAAAGTGCAATTACAGTCCAGCTGGCATGGCTCAACAGTTGAGTGTTGACCTATTGATCCAGGATATTGTGGTTCGATTCCCGGTCAGGGCACGTGCCTGGGTTGCAGGCTCAATCCCCAATGGGGGTAATGCAGGAGGCAGTCGACCAATGAGTCTCTCTCATCATTGATGTTTCTATCTCTCTCTCACTCTCCCTTCCTCTCTTTATTTTTATTAAAAAATAAAATAACGTGCAATTACAAAAATTATGTCTGAAAAACTCAGATGCTGTGATGCTTTTAAAACAGAATCACAAATTATTCAACACTCTCCCCACTGAGACATGGGGTCTGTCTCCTTCCCTCTGGGCAGGCTTATGATTGCTTTGACCAAAGGAATAGAATGGAACAGTCACCGTGTGTATCCTAAGGCTAGGTCATAAAAGGCCATGCAGCTTCCACCAATCTTGTTACAGTCCAGCTGGTGTGGCTCAGTGGTTGAGCAATGAAGTATGATCCAGGTCAATGTATGACCTATGAGCCCAACCTTTCAGCCACACCCAGTGAGGAACCAGGCATGTAAGTGAAGCAGCCACCTTGGAATGGGTCCTCCAGCTCCAAATGCTACATCCAGCTATTCCAAATGACCTCAACCATTTGAGTTTTCCCAGCAGAGACATCAGCTATTGTGAGCAGAGGTGAGGTATCCCTGCTATACCTCATCTAATTTCTGATGTACAGAATCCATGCATAATAAATATATGAAAGTGTGTAACACAATAACATATACCTGGGAGGACAGTTAGCTTAGAAAACCAATATGATGTGTGCTGTCTACTAGCCATACATGTATGGGGTACATGTATGGTGTCTACTGACATTGACAGGAGCCAAAATGAAACTTCTAAATGTTATAGTTCTGTTTTAAATTTTTTTCTTTTGTCACTTTATATCTCATAGCTAATCAGATAGGATTCTATGTCACTTCAAAGGCCCATTTCTGGGTCATCAATTGAGATGTGTTCTATAAAAATTAAGTGGCAGACTGACTACTGTGCCACAAGTAAAGATAATCTGCTTATGTTCTACCTACTAAACTAATGCCCAGCACGTTAATTTTATCTCATCATCTGCAATAAAATACTATTCTGGAATCTGATGCATCTAGACATTGCAGAATTTTATGTGTCCTGGAAAATATTGGTGGATTTACAGTCAACATTCTTTCTACTGTAATGTCCTCCCCTGCAGGTACTGGAAAGCTAAAAATTACATTTTCCAACCCCCCTGGCAGTTTCTAGATGCATTTCGATGGGGTGACTCAGACACACTTGCATAATAAGACTTGGAAGCCAGGATTCCTGCTGCAGCCGCACTTCTGTGGAAGCCTTTTGTTTTCTGCGGTATGCTTCGCGGAGAGCCCCGTCCCCAGGCACTCGCTCATTCGGTGGGGGTCATGCGCAGGACTTCCCCGTTGTTGATGCAGATTAGAGCAGGAGCAGTTTCGTCTTGCAGCTAGCAGCAGACGCAGCAGCTTTCTGAACACAAGAGTTTCCTGACTATGGCTCTGGGGGTATCGTTCTGGAGCCAACTTCCCGGCTGAGGGAAAAGCAGTGGCTCTGAAATGAGGCTTTGGGAGCCATTTTTTTAAAAACTCAAATTACAGATGGCTTCTTTGTTCCTCTCAATGATTCTGTAAACCATTTAATACCATGCAGTAAATTTCTTCCTGCTTAACAAGTGAGAGCTTGCTTTCTGCAACGAGACCCCAACTGATACACCATTCTTTTGATAACTAATAAGCGTTTACTCTCATTTCCTCGAAAATACAGTCCATGATCCACTTTACCTTGATAGGCTCTCCATGAGGAGACATGACTTCATCAGAGAGCTCCATCATCTTCAGGGCCATCAGCGCTATCTGAACAGCATGGGTATCACTTTCTTTGTGTAATCCCCCAGCCACACAATATGCATCACCAATGGTCTCCACCTACACATAACAGATTTTCCATATTACACACAGAAAAAAGCTCAGCATACAACATAGAGCAGAAGTAAAGAATCATATAGTAACCATCTCGGTGTTCTTTGTCTAAGATACTGGCTACAAAAAGCTAACAATTAATTTAAAGCCACCAAATTGTAATAATGGCATTTTTCTTCTCTTCTAAATATTTATTGTAACTTATCAGATCACCTCATTCTTTTCATCCAACGCTTCCAGTGTGGAGAAATGGAGGTGAGAAAAGGAAAAGGAAAAACATAAACCGTTAGGAATTTTCCATTTCACTCAGAATAAATGCTGAAACCCCTTTAAGGTGCCCAAGCTTCATCTTGACCTGCCCTTCTGCTAATTCCTGACTTTACCTGTCAACTCTCCCTCTTGCTCACTTTGTTTCAATGCCACTGGCCTCTCCTGTTTTCCTGAAAACATACCAAAACATAGCAAGCTCCCACTTGCTATTCCTTTGCCTGGAATAATCTTTCTGCAGATAACTGCTTGGTTTGTCCCTCATTTCCTTCAGCCCCTTACAATATCACCTTATGAGAAAGGCCACCCTCTATGAAACAGCAATCACCTCTTACCCTCTCCCCCTCTCTCCTGCTTTATTTTTCTTTCATCATATTACACCACATGAAATACTATAAATGTATTCACTTGTTTATTGTCTTCCTTTCCCACAGTAGAATGTAAGCTATCTGAGTTTGTCTATTTTATTAACTCCTATAGCACCAGTGCCCAGTATATTCACCAGTGAATGGACCAGGCAGCAATGCCTCCCGTAAGCTTTTCTCGGCAGTGAATAGATGAGAAGTGCTTAAAAGAAGGCTAACATATCACAGGTGCTCCATAAATGTTATTAATTAGGAGGAGTGGTACACTCACCCCTCCTTGGACTTAGGTGCCTATTCTCTGTGCTATTTTAGCACATTTTCCGGACTTGAGTGACATATGGGGCCTTTATCATGTTCTATGGAAATCTAGCATTTGTCAGTGCAGCCCTCCCCACCATATGTCAACTCTTCTCACAGGGATTATGCCTACTCACACTGAAAAATGCTGGATAACAGTAGATATTTGCTAAAACAATAGATAAATAAATACTAACACAAAACAATGCCTAAAAGATTGAAACACGGACAATGAAATTCAATAAAGTCCTGCTGTGATCAGATCCCTGAATAAATAAACTTGACTATTCCTTGGAAGCCATGACACTCATAGTTCAGCCTATGATTATACATTCTGTGTATCTGAAAGTTACTTAATGGTTAAAACCCTCCCTTATTTATTTACAGCTCTCTCTAGGTATTTTCATGAAAAATCAGAAGTGGAGAGAAGTGGACAGAAGGACAGGTAAAGAAGGTGACTAACTAGCTTTGGCTGCAGTTGGGCGAGTCAGGGAAATCTGTGGCTACCATCCTTGTAGTAAGGAGGTTAGATTCTAAATACTTGATAAAAATAACCATTTTTTTCCCAAGTTTCAACAAGATGAAACTTGAAGAGGAGGACTACTTCTTCTGTTACCAATCACAGCCGTTTGCAAAGAACAGCAGGACTTCCTTCTCACAATTCTGAGAGGAGACATTCTCAAGATAGAAACTGTCTACAAATAAATATAGCAGATTCCATAAGAGGCCATCAAGCTTAACCTAACCAAAGCCAATTATTTTATCTGTAATTATCCAAGGGCCTATTTTTGTCCCATGGGATCATAGCTGTGTCTGGAATTTCCTGTTAGAAATTTTTAAAAGAAAGGTTTTTTTGTGTTTTGCTTTATTGTTTTTTGTTTGTTTGTTTGTTTGTTTTTACTTCTAGCATCTAGATTGAAAAAAAGCAAGGGCTTGTATATTCCCATAAATAATTTTTGTTTTCTCCTCAATCTTTTATCTATTCCACATTGGGTTAAGCTCTGAAATGCTAGGTTGTTATGTGGCAAATTAAAAAATAATTCCAAGTCACACAAATGAGAGGCATGCTCTGTTCTTAATTATGTCTCAAACAATGCAAAATACTCTATATCAGTAAAAAAACACCTTTTACTTCTAAAGGAACGGGCAGAACAGGAAATCTCTTCATTAGTTCTCTTTTGATAATAGTTGCATTTAAAAGATAGCTGATTTCATGTTGGAGACAATCACTGTGCATCCCTAGTGCCTAGAATGATGCCTGGTACATCCTGGGTACCCCAAAGTCCTGCTGCCTGATGAATAACAGATGGCACTGACCATGATGTATGTTGTTCATGCATATAAACTCTTTGGGTGGATGTTATTTTATCTGTTTCAAAAATGAAACATGTCAAGTAAAGACAAGATTTGAAGACAGGCTTCTCTTATTCAGGCATCTCTGCCCTCAGCCTCTCTACAATAAAGCCTTAAGTAGGTCATTTGGATTTCTGCTAACTGGCCAGACAAAGTATCCTGCTAAGTGCATATTGAATTAATCTATTTAAATACTATTTGTATAATCCTCATGTTTCTTTACTTTCATAGATACAAAGGATGTTTTCACTGTACAAGCCATACTCTGAACTATATCATGCTTAATAACTCAATTCGGTTTCCAGTCAAGTGTCATGTTCATGGACTTCTAAACTTCACTATACCCCACCCTCCACTCAGTCTCTCATCCCCCATTCTATGCTCATTCCTGGAGAAGACAATGTGGCAGTCCTTTCTGGGAATCATTATCTCTTGTTTCTGAGTAGATTCAGAGCTATTTCTGGCTGGCAAACACCCACGTAATTAATGCACAATGCCTGCTCCCAGATGTGGCTTCCTGGATGGCCCTGCTGGGACAGCCTTTACTTAGTAACTCAGATCCTAGTTTCAGTGCTTTTCCTCAGTGACTTTTGCCTGGAAAATGGGCATCGTCCTGCTCCACCCCTACCTTGTAGACATCCAGCTCTCCACACTGCTGGTCAAAGCGTGTGTAGAGCGCATTGAGCATGGTGATGACCTGCAGCGGCGAGCACTGGGAGCAGATGGCAGTGAACCCAACAATGTCTGAGAAAAGCATGGTGACGTTACTGAACTTCTTGGCTTGCACGACTTGCCCTTGCCACAGCTGCTGTGCCACCTCGGAGGGAAATATAGAGCACAGAAGATCAACTGTCTTCTTCTTCTCTTCCTCCAGAGCCTGGTGGGCTTGCTCAAGAGTGGCTTTCAGTTTTCCCAGCCTCTTCTTAAGGCCATCTTGAGCTCTGGCCTGTTCTCCTATCAAGACCACATCCCTTAGCGCATTGTGAATTGGGATGTCAGAGAGGTAGAGCCCTCGTCCTGTAAAATCTTCTAATCTGTCCACACAGGGTGAGCCCAAGAACAAGATTGCATTGGATTCAATGATGTAGATCATTTGGCCTTTGAGGTCCATAACCTGTGAAGCAAAGGAGAATTGCTATGATTTATTCAAGTTCTCGACATCTTTTGGAGACAAAAGGAGAGAAAGTAGATACAGTAATAACCCCTTTGTATTGAACTTGATTTTTTTTTTTCTACCTGCTGACCAAGAACAATATTCTTTTTATAGTTCCAGTTTACTATGGGTTCTAAAATGTATGAAGAGTGTACTCTACACACAGATCACAATTTTCAATAAGCAGTGCAAAAAAATTCCTTCTTCAAAGCTTTCTCAGTAAGTGGCATGCTGCTGGTCCTGTGACTACATTCTTTTGGTAGCAGAAGCCAGCAGAAATAATTGCACCAAGGGAGCCTTGAGAGAGGTGAGGCTTCAAGTGATCATCCTGGATCACAAGACTTACTTGGATGAATGTGGACAAATATGTATATGTGTGTTGTTCACTGCAGCCAAGAGTCAAAAGCAACCCAAATGTCCTTCCACAGCAGATGGTTAAATAAAATAGAGGACAACCTTACAATAAGATACTACACAGACTTTAAAAAGTGAAACAGACATATATTTAAGGACATGGAAGCATGCCCAAAATATACTGTTTAGTGAGAAAAAGGAAATTATAAATAGTATTTTTTTTTTTTTTTAAACAAAAATGTATATAACTAATGTCATTGATTTGTTGTTGTTGCTACAATGGACATCTTTAAGTACTGCCATTTTAAAAAATATTTAGCTATACAATTTTTATGATAAAAAGCAATAAAGCTGTTTTCATTTTTGGGAACAGTGTGTCTGCTGGGATTATGCATGCCTAAAATTTATATGTATCATAAGACTATTAGCTTTGCTGTACTATCAAGCAGGATTTAGCAAACTTTGTAACTTAAGAGTAAATAATTACAAAGTTCTCTACCATGAGATGACAGAACATTTTCTCCCACATCCTCTAACAATTAATCAAACAAGTTATTGATTTTTTCCATGTTTATTAAATATTGAGTAAAAAATCCATTTAGTTGGGTCCTGTAAGAAAAAAGTAGTTTTGTTTGTTTGCCATAAAAAAATACCTCTTATTCCAAATTAAGTCAGCTATTTGATGATGATTGAAAACATATTTTATATAAATATTTTTATAATTCAGTTATAAAATACTTCATAAATATTTTACATGGTAAACTACATTCAATGAATATTTGTGAAGAGTCAGGTAAAAAAGAAATGCATACAGAAAGGATCTTGTTTTAAATTTATTCCAGCCTTATTAAGTATTTTAGAATTGTTTAAAATATAAGTGTTTTATGAAAACATTTGCAGTGATGCATATTCATTTGTACCTTTTTTGTTTCTGGTTCTTAAGTATGAAATAACTGAATTCATATTCAAAATACTATTATGTATCTCTTACCCTTGAAGATTTCTTCACAGAGTTGTCCCATCTCCTCACTCGGAGCACAAATTGCAAATTCAACATAGTCATGATTCCGCTAAATGTCTGGTTGATTTTCGGAGTCAGAATTTCAAAGTACTCTTCAAAATTAGGCTTTCCTTGCAAGTCCCTCCTGTTCATCAGCCTCCTGATGCCGTTGCCAAATTGCAGAATCGTCATGTCTTTGTCAAACATGAAATGGAACGGAAATGTCTTGCAGAAGAGAGAAGCAGGGATGACCAGCGAGGACTGGGGTTTGCCTGGGGACAGGGACGGTTTGGTGCTTTTGACATGAACGGAGTATAAGGCATAAGGCTGGTTAACAAACTCGCTGCCATCGCTGCAGAAGCAGGAGGGCATCAGTGACACTTCCACCTCGGTTTCGTACAAGATGTGAGCAGCCGCCTTAATGACGCCGGGAAGAATCAGAGATGTGATCTTCTTGGGGAAGAAATAATAAACGTTTAAGAAATCGTGATCCTTATCGAGGCAGAGAATGGAGGCCGCCTCCAGCCGGCCCTTCTCTGCTTCTTGGCAGTGGCTGCTCTGCTTCAGAAGGGTGCTGAAGCTATTTAAAAAATCTTTGAGGGTTCCTCCCACCACACCCAGGATGTGTTCATCTTCCTCATAACATATTTTAAAAATCTCTTCACCGAGAGATGCTTTGATGACCTCCGCTGGAACTCCTGAAAACAGATAACACATTTTTTGCCAAGTCAAATAGGTCATCTTGGTAGAACTGAGCTGTTATGACTCTTCTATACATTGTTTTATTTGATGATTTAATCTCCTTTATATCTGGTAATAGAATTCCAACCCAAATTAACCACCTATATTCAAATTATCTACACAGATTCATTACTAAAACTCTGGTAATTCTGATTTAAAAATCCCAAATCATTACTTAAAAAAAAAAAAAAGATCAATTGAATATAACATACAACTTTTTTATTATCTCCCTAAACTTAGCTATAAAAAGGCAATTGGAATTGCAGGATCAAGTCCATTTCAGAAAAAGCTCTCCCACCTTGGTAACAACAAAACCAGTCCCTCTTGACGAAAGGCTACTGTCCCCCTTGTGGGGTCTCCAGGAGTATAAGCTTCACAGGGATTAACTGGAAATCACTGGTTGTGAAACTCAATTTTGTCGTTTTTTTTCTTTAGAGATAACATAAAGTAATTTTTTCTGCGTATAACAGCATTCTTGTTGGTTAATGTTACTCTAATGAATATGTGTTTGGAATACATTATTTACTTTCTACACCTCCGTGCCGAGCCTCCCTGACCCTCTAAGCCCTGTGTACCACACTCCTTTTCATCTGTAACTTGGGGAGGACAATAGTGCCCTCTTCACAGCACTGTTGTGATCCGGGGGGCAAGATGATTAGAATAGTACTTGGCTCCTAAGAAGACTTCAATATGAGTTAGCCATAATCACCATCATCATCATTATCATTAAAATCTGAATAGCTTGCACTTTTAGAAAAATTTAACTTGTTGGTCATGTACTCAAACTTTGAAAAGGAGAGTACAACCAAGTTACTCAGCTACCTGTTCCCCTAAACTGCGTATTAATATGAGAACACTGTTAGCCCCTTTCTCTATGACTATTTTGAACCTTTTAAAAAAATTCTTTAATTATTCTTTTTTCAGTAGGATGCTTTATGCATAAACAAGGAACACTTAGTTAACTTCAAGACCAAAGCATGTAAATGTCTACGAGTCAGCTTCTCATGCAGCTTTATCTAATTCTCAGCAAATAAACGTTATAAGAAGAGGAAATGATACTGGGGGGTGGGGTCAGTGGAGAAAAAGTGGGGATATCTTTAATACTTTAAAAAATAAAGATAAATTAAGAGAAAAAATAAGAGAAAATGTTTTAATATGAAAAAGAGTTATTCTTTATGTTAACACAATACATAGATTGAACACTTCACACTGGAAGTCACCAGTGAATAAAAATAAATATTGTAGGAGAAAATATTAGTTCTTCAGGTAAATCTTTTTTACTAATAGAAAATATTAGTTTACAGACAAAATATTAGCTCTAGAAGTATAATTAATTCCTAATTATATATACTCAAACAATTCTATTACCTGCTGCAAGTGCTTGGTCTGCAATCATTTTTTCAAAGTCTTCTCTTTCCACAGATTTTCTGAAATTATTTCAATATCTTAAATTATAAACTGACAAATGAATGCTAAGACTTCAGATTATAACAGACAGAAATCATAACAAATAATTTTAAGCTACCTTCTCTGTAGAGACAAATCTTCACTATCGAGTTTACAGGAAAGGAGCAGTGACATGTACAACCCAAAGCAATGTTAAAACACATTCTAATATACCAGAATACAGAGTGCTTCGTCATTTTTAATGAAATATTTGCCTCTTAATTGAACTTTATTTAAACTAATACTATAGAGATCTACATTGGCAGGGATCCAGGATTTTAAAATGGCTCACAAGGGAATGGTAATAAAGTTGCCCAGTTTTTCTGATAACCCCACCAAGAAAAAAAACCTACATACTGATTATTTCACTTTTAAGTATCACCATTTCTTTTCCCCAAAGCAAATATACAGTAAATCCTGTATATTTAACTCTCAGACATCTTTACATTAAATTTTATCCTTGATTTTGTATAAAAATGAGTAACTTAAGAAATCTATTCTTTATTCAATTACTGCACTGACTTCTGTAGCATAGATGTTGATAATATAATAGCATATATATTGATTGATTGATTGAAGACTCTAGTGATTTCAACTGGACAACTTGCTGATTCATGTCTGCCTAAGTTTTTGTTGATGATTTCTAATAGTAATGACTGATTATGATAGAATTTTCCAAAATACAGAAGCATGTTATAAGACACCCAATTTGTTTCTGGTTCATTTTGCCATTAGACAAGCCAAGTTTACAAAAAAGCATGAATCTAAAATTTTTAATAGGTTTCAGAGAACATGGCACATGTGGAGAAGTTTCAAAAGGAAATATTTTCAAAAAGGAAAGTTGCTCAGTCCACTACTTTATTACATAAAGGTATAGTGCTTATAATTATTTAAAATACTAGGTGGAAATATTTTCTTACTTTAATGGGTTGAGGAGTACTAACTAGTATTATCTAGTTTGACTTTAGAGACCCCCCCCAAACATTTTGATACATAGTGCTTCTTTATAATACAACATCTGTATACTTTATTGTGTGCTCACCACCCAAAGTCTAGTCTCCTTTCATCACCAAACCCCTTGATATATATTGTTTTGTATTAATCAATCTTCAGATTTGCTTCTTTTTGTCATTTAAGCAACTTCTAGTTTTTCCGAAAGAATGAGAGCAGATCTGCTCAGAGAACTGTAATTCTGCCAATTCCCACACCCATGATATGAGATATGAGCAAAGTGAGTCCAAACAGCACATAGTGCAATTCAAAATAAGTTCCCTATATTTATCTTCAAAAAAGGAGGTATAAGCTTGTATATGCACCAGCAAATGTGCGTGTGTTATACACACACGCACACCAGCCGTGAGTTCATACTTATGATGATGTAAACAAAAGGTCAAAGAAAAATAAACGCTCTATGTGCAACCAACCCAGGGAGATATCAGAATGTGTTTTACTAAAACTCATTCACTTAAAAAAGAGATGGTGGTGAGCTCCAGCCCTCCATTTACAGATACTTTATTATTTAATATCTTGGTGTTTTGCTTTTCACGTCACCTAAGATGATAAGCAGTCTGCAAAAGGGTGTAAGGTGTGTTCAGCAGCTGGCAAAATGAGAGCAGTAGAAAAGGCAGTTGCCTCACCAGAAAAAAGATGGGGGGGGCCGGTGACCAGAAACAAAGAGCATACCCAACAATTTAAAAAGGCAAAGCAGCCCGGCCGGGCGTGGCTCAGTGGTTGAGCGTCAACCTAGGATCCAGGTGATCGGGCTTCGATTCCTGGTCAGGACACATGCCCGGGTTGCGGGCTTGATCAATGACTCTCTCATCATTGATGTTTCTGTCTCTCTCTCTCCCTCTCCTTTCCTCTCTCTGAAATCAATAAAGATATATTTAAAATAAAAATAAAAATAAGAAAAATAAAAAGGCAAAGCAGAGAGAAGCCATTTGGCATATCAACAGGAACTCTTATGAGAAAAAGGAGCCCTCGTCTTATTTCAACAACTGAATAATTAGCACTAGGACAATTTAAAAGTATGATCAGTTCTATAAGAAGTCAGGGAAGTGGTTAAAGATTTTTTAGGATTCCCAAGTAAACTATATATTTCTGTTAAGTTCTGAGATTTTTCAAAGAGAGACACTGCTGGGAACACATCCTGGTGGAATGTCTGCATTCGACTTAGAAACATTCAAAACACAAAGCTCTGAGAATAAATTTTGTGTAAACGGGCTGCCAAGGACTTAAGCAGACAGACACAGTAGCACAGCTACAATGACTCCTGGCTATCTTATCAGCTGACTGAGAAGCAAGGTCAGAAGCTGTGGAATGCTTTGCATATCGCTCATGTAAACAGAGCTTCCGTCACACACACGGATTCGCACTCTCTCCTGGACCCGCCTGTGACCCCTTCTTGGCAGCCTGCTGCCTACAGTCTGGGACCAGTTAGTCAGCAAGGAAAATTAAGCGCAGATAATCCACAGAAGAGATTATTCACTCAGGAGTTGTAGGGAAATGAATGAATTTATGAAATATCTTTGACAATGGTATTGGCTTATAAAACTTCAATGTTCAGTCCTGTAAATGTGAACTCAAGTATTTATTCTGTCATTTGCAGGATGAGTAAGCCTGGGGGCTTCAGGAAATCAAGAACAAGTCCAAATCAAGTTATCCACTAGCAGTGACTGTGCTACGACATAGTTGAAAAGTTAAGTATACAAATGAGATTATTTTTAAAAATCTCCTTATATATTAAGCTGCTACAGAAAGCTAGCTTAAAGAAAATTTCAAAGACACAGTACATGAAAAAAAAGTGTCAAAGAACTCATTCAGCCAATGCACACCAATTACAAAGATTCTAAAAATACTTCCTTAAGGATTAATAGCTGCTGCCCCAAGCCTCCCTCTTTCCTCCTTTTCATCTCCTCCTGATGCAGCCCCTAAAAGTCTAACCCTGGGGGGTGGGGGCAGAAGTGGAGGGAGAGGGGCATGGGAACCCTACTCCAACCTCTTAGCAGTATTCTTCAGCCAAGGAGTGTTCACTTGAGTGTTTGGCATCCACGCCTTACCAGTTAAGTATTTTACAAATTACCCCTTAGTTGGAATGAAGAGGCCCGTGGGAGCTTGTTAAAAGCAGAAGTATATGACAACATGGTTAAAATCATGGGCTCTGAAAAACGCAGGTTGGAAACTTAATTCTGCCTTTTCTTAAAACCCTAGAAAATCCTAAATATCATACATAAACTTAAGCTTAGTGATGCATAAAATAGGAAAGATAAATGCATGCACTTTCAGATTAGTGGCAGCTAAAACACTCAGTCCAGTGTTTGGTATACCATAGTGATTCGAAATATGTTGATACTTCCAGTAAGTGTCGGTTATTAGTAGTGGTGTCAGAGATGGTAATAAGAAGTTCACACAAATAAAATGGTTCAGTTTACCTGCTTTCTTTTATTTTGTGTTTTGCCAGTGTTCTCTGAAGTGCAAGGTTCAGTCGTTCAAACTGAAAATGGAAAAGAAAAGTTATAAACATTCCCTTAAATAATCATTTACTTGAAGATACATTTTTGTAAAATTTGTCCTGAAAGTTTCTCATGAAGAAGCAGATACGTTATCACCGCAATGATAAGCGTTGTGAATTTACACTTTGGAAAGTGGGACTGATTTTCCACGGGTTTTTCAAACTTGGGAAGAAACCATGAGCTCAGACTAATTTCAGTTTGGATGTGGGCTGTGGACCACAGGCTTTGCCAGTGGTGGGGGGTCTCACTGACAGCCACAGAGCAAGGTGAAGATGAGCTGGAATCCAAATAGAAGAGTCCAGTTTGGTAAAGTCCGGTGTCCCATGAAGGAACAGTGGGCATCACTTCCTCTGGGTCAGAAAACCCACTTGGACATGCTGCCAACACTTCAATGAATAGCAGCGTGGCCCGGGCCAAGCCTACCCCATTCCTCTCACGAATTCTACACCCAGCCACCCCCATGACTCTCTGCCCTTAACTCCAAGTGCATATCTGTGTTTCATGTGTCACTTACATCTCCTGGTCTAGAAAACTCTGATGCTATCTGTCTTTCCCTTTCTGTTATCCTTTAAATCCAATCTGTTTCCATGATCATTGATTTGAAACAAATCTTGGATTTTCCCTAATTTGTACTTATTTCCCTTTTTGAACTAATAATCTTCATCAAACACTTATAGTTTTACTCTCTTTTATTGGTTTCATGGATTTTCCTATACTGCAAGATATTGCGTATAAGTCCCCATACTTTTAAGTACTTGTTGACTATATTAATCTTTCTTAACAGCTATTGTCTCTAGTTAATAAAGGGAAGGAGAGCATAGGCAAGCAGTGCTGCCAATTTTTTTTGCATTCCATGTAAAAATTGTATGTATTTACATGGGTGTATATAGCCGCTGATTCTTTCTGTAGTTTACCCAGAGGAAAAGTGAAGTCTTCTGGCTCTGTTCCAAGTTGGGAAATTCCTTTCCCCTTAAGAACTATTTATATCTCTCTTAGAGTTTCCACTGGTTAAGTGAGGCAGTGAAGTTCAGCAAAATAGACCAAGCTTCTGTTTTAATAAAATAAGTCACACAAAGGACTTTCCATTTTAATGCGCATTATAGAGCTTAGAAAAGAAACTTGAAATGTACTGGGGAAAAATGCAAGTGCTGAAAAGAAATAAAAGAAAAATTAAATTTAAAATGCAGAACAACTTCTCTGTCTGTTCCAATAAAGAGAGGGAGGGTACGTCTGCCTTGGGGTGAAAGGAAGGCTGGCAGGAGACTTATCCTGTGGGGGGATTTGAAGCAAGGTCCTGGGGGCCTATATGATGGCAAAGGGCTGCCTGGCAGGTGAGGAACATGTGGAAAGGAAAATATGGGCATGTTTCTGTGCAGTCTGTTATGTTAAGGAAAGAGGAACATTAAATAGAAGACTGTAAGTGAAGTAGATCTGCCAGGGTTCTTGAAAAGCTTCAATTTCTCAAGGGCCTTTTACTTTTAGGAAGTTACTCTGGCATTATTAATATCAGCATACTCAGGTAAATTAAAACTCAGGAAAGCATGGGTCGCTGTGAGTTCTCTCTTCCTGGAAAACATATTCAGATGGGCAAAGGGCTCATCAATGAAATGCAGGTCATTGCCTTAATGCACGAGCTCTCAGTCTTCCTTCATGCATTTGCTACCTGCCTTTATGATTATTTGTCTCCTCCACTAGAGTAGAATCTCCAAAGGGGCAGAGAATTCGTTTTGTTCAGCACTATATGCCCAGCACCTAGACCAGTACATGGCCACAGGAGATGCTCAATACCTATTGATGGAATAGATGAATGAATGAATGACACTCCCCTGTCAGTGATTCAAAGTCGTGAAGGCTTAATCTATAAAATTATATCAGCGATAGAGTCAAGTACAGAGGTGTTATCCTTTTAGCCTGTTTACAAATAAATTTAGATTGTTTCCAATTTAAAATAATTTTAATTATATTTGATTATATATGAATTGTGGCTCTGACCAGAAACTTTTGATGGAAAATGAGGAAAGAAAACCCATCCAATTCTGCCACTGAATAATTTTTCCTTCTCACGCTGTACTCCTCAAACTAATACAAAATAGTATTGAATGTAAGCTGTAATTTAAAAACTAAAATTTTAAAAAAGAGAATTTTTTATTCCTCTTTCCTAATGCTAGGAGAGATGTCAATTCTCCCCCCTCTTTACTTTCCTAATTAAACCATCACGCTCTCTACCCGTTTCACCCAAGATCCTTCTTGGCCTTTCATTTTCTTTCCACTCTCACCAAGAACTTCTTTTTCTAGTCCTTTCCATGTAATGTAAATGCTGTCATTGTAAGAGGGGAGGAGAAATGGTCCCGCTTTCCATTGCCGGGGTTGGTGGAACACATATATTCCTGACTTTCTGTTTTGAATCAGAACTTGTTTCTCTAAAGAAAAGGTGCTAAAGTCCTAGAGAAGCATTAGTAGCATACTCTAGTGATATTATGAGTTAACAGTCTTTTGTAGCTATTTTCATAATACACCATTTCTTCTCTGGAAAACTGCTATAAGTTCACAAAAACAAAAGCAAAACCAAACAAAATCCACAAGCTTTTTTGGCAAAATACTTATTTGTAAAAGCTGATGGTGCATAGTTTCCTGCCTTGGCACTGTAGCTCCTGTATTGTATCTTGACCCAGACCCTGGGATGACACAGGTCCACAAGAAAGTCATAGGCAGGACTCAACTTTAAGTGAGACCTGGCATACCCAGCCAACTTCAGGGCCTGGTGACATACAATTAGCCACTATAAGATTCTAGGAAGGTCAGTCAGATACTACACATCCCAACCGTTCTCTATATTGATTTTTAGGTTAGTATGGCATTTTAGGACTAACTAATATTTCCTTCAAAATTAATTCCCTACAATGCAAAATACTAGTATGCAGTAGTCTTCTGCAGACTTTTAATTGCCCAGCATTCATACTCCTCCCTTTTACTATGAAACGCCTCCATTTTGAGTTTTGGAAAAAAGGGCTCTGCTTGTATCCACAATCTTTAGACCCTGAAGGGTTGTGGATCAAGGAATTTCTGATTCACAGAGGGAGCACCTGTCCCCAGAAGTAAATCAAGTGTTGCTCTCAAGTTTATTTCTCTTTACTGAACAATTATGCTTTAACTTGATAAAGGATATATATGTATTCATTGTTAAAACAAGTACATTTCTGACAAATACACTATATATTACTTCAGGTATAACTGCTATTTGATGAAATACTGCTGTGAACACTGAATGGAATTTCATTGGTATGGTTTAATCATTTCTGTTGATTTTCAGCTTTTCTACAGTTTTTCATGATTTTCTAAACCAAAGCTATTTAAGTCCATAAGGATAAATTACAATTCTGTTTCTTTTTTTCTTCTTGAAACCCAATACATTGAAACACAGAGACTTTATGATTGTCTTCAGATTCTCTTAGTCTCAAGAGGTCTTTGATTTTGGGAAATACCATCTATTTAAGCATATCTGATTTGATCAATTGATTCAGTTGAGTAAGTGGGTTCTGATGTGTTCCAACTGTGGGTAATCTTACATTGCAACTCATGAAGACACTATGCTTGAGGAACCTACAGGATTTTGGGGGAGCAACAGCCATGAAAAATGAGCAAACAATATTATTATAGAAAGAGCAATGAATTATGAATGAGAAGATGCACAGACCTTTCCACCTCTCCAGTTATCTCTTTTACTTAAAGCAAGTGCCCTAACATTATTGCCTCAATTTCTTCAAAAAGAGAAGAAAAATTTGCATTAGTTGATCAACAAGGCCTTTTAAAGCCCTATTCTACTACTTTGGAATGACTCCCCTACTTTAAATTTGTTAAGGATAATACATTTTAATATTTGTTCCCCATAAAAACATAATTTGGGGAGTGAAATCTGGTTATCTAAAAGGAGAGCTATGATACTGTCAAATGATATTTGAGTCTCTTTCTTTGGATTACTGATAGAACTGAAACTAAACGGTATAATAAGAATTAAATGTCTATTTAAAAAACATAAGTGCTACTTAATTAAAGACATGCAGATGTTTGGACGGTTGATGAAATAACCTAGATTATTATTACACAGTCTAAATGTGTCCAACATTAAGACATTTACTAGTATAAGGCAAATGGCCTCAGTTGTCTGAGAGGAGTTCTAGTCAATAATGCCAACTGTACCCCTTCTCCCTCTTAGAATTCTTATAGCCTCGCCTTCTCCATCTGCTACATGACAGTATAGTTAAATTTTAATGACTATTCCTATGAGTTCACAAACAACAACACAGATTATTCTAAACAAAGACAAAGACAAATGTAAAATGTCATTTATATTGGTATTTGGAATTTTTAACATGTGTGTGACTTCTACTTTAGGAATTAAAAATCTTAACATGTCTATGACTTCTACTTTAGGAATTCAAAATCTATCAAACAAAACAATGAGCCAAGATGCTAATGACAACACTCAGGAGAAGCACGGAAGCTCTCCCGCTTCCCATCATTGCCATCTGTTCTTCTCTTGGCACCTCACTCTGTCCTGGAAATAAGAGTACCAACCATTTCCCAGACTGTGATGCCAACCAACTCCCTGACAAGGGGTACATTCCTCATCCCAGCCAAAGCGGGCTGTCTAGTGACTAGAGTAGTGTGAGAATAGTTGCATATTTCTATTTCAAAGGCTATTGACCAAAGTACTTTTATGGTGATATTATATTTGAAATTAGTTTCTTCAACTTTCTGATAATTCTAATTTATCCATGCTCCAAGCTTCAATTCAAATCTAATCTTTCTTAGTCACTCCAGCCTATATTGCTTGCCAGCAGAAATTGCTCTACGCTGTGTGACTTTGGTCAAGTTACTTAGCTTCCCTAGTCCTTGAGTGTGAAACAAGATTACCTCTGAAGTACCTTTTAGTCCTAAAAGTCAGCAAGTCTATGGTTCTTCAGTGCTTTGGTGTTGAGTCAATTAAAAATTACCAATGGGTATGATAGCTGGAGTCTAATTATATCAATGTCCAATCTCGTAGGTTAAGTGAGTTTCTATAAAACTGAAAACTAATGGAGGAAAGAGGCATCATGAAAATTTTTAGCTGTTCTCTTTAGCCCTGCCAGGGGAAAAGAGCTTTCTACAGGCCCCTTCTATTCCTAAGTTACTCGACTAATTAGCTATATGTGCTCTATTCCCAGAGTTCTGTTATGGATAGATTAACAGAAGGTGCTTCATATATCAAAATGGCATTAGGCTATGTAGCTAGAGGAGCTATTTCAAGAGGTATCTAAGCTAACAACACAGATATTGGCAATGATAGGCCCATGACTCTGACCCAAAGGAGCAGGTAAAACCTGACTTGAGCAGAGATTTCAGGCTCAGAATCAACAGGGAAAGGGAGATTTTCCCACCTCAACAAATTATCAGGGGATACATGATGCTCTTTGGAGTTGGAAGACAAAAACATGGCAGAAAATAAGTTATTTTTCAAGGAACTTAGTTTTAAAATAGTAGTTAACAACCACTGGGCATTTGTGGTGTGGCAAGAGGTATGGATCACTTCACTTCATGCTCATTAAAACTCTAGAATGTCGAAGCTATTATTGTTTCCATTTTACAGATAAGAAAGCTGATGCTAAGGGACTAAGCAGTTGTCCAAAGTCATAAAGCTTGTCAGAGTGCAGGATCCTTTTGAAAAGAATTCAAGACATTAAACAGTTTAAGATAAGCACAATTTAAGACTATGATTGCTTTAAAGGAATGTTTCTCTATGTTTCCAAGAAACATCTATCATAGTCTTGAAAGTGGGAAAGCAAGTGTTTACATTTTCCTTAGAAATTTTTTCTTTTACAATTTTCAAAGTATCAGTAAAATCCTGAAAGAGCAAACACTCACCTCGGGGAAAATCAATTTGCAAATGCTCTCTGCCAAAGTGTGAAGATATACTCGGCTCCGACTGGTCTTTCTTTGAGGGAGACTTCCTTGTACCTTCTTCTCAGGAACGTCCTGACAGATGGGCAGCGTGGCTTTGCAGCTCTCTGAGCTTCCTGCCACCTCCTCTGCTGGCTCTTTAGGAACCTGCCCTGGTGCCAGTAAGGAGAAAGGACACTCCCCTGTGATATTGAGATCCTTCAGCTTCGTACAGAACATGGTGCTGGTGGCCTCACCCTGCTGTGGATCTCGTCCTGGTGAGCTGTTCTTCTTATGTGGGACTGACAAACAGACGCCAGGATCAGATCAAGGACACTGGTGACTGGGGTGTCTACGGGCAGCAGAAAATCAGGACAGAAAGAGAGTGACTTGGCACTCTTGTGAAAACAAAAAAAGAAATGTGTGAAAAAGCAAAAATCATACAGTCATTTGTATTTTCTTTCTCTTTTTTCTTTATTTTATTTTATTTTTTCCATCACCATTTACCCCTCCTATACCTCTTCCACCTCCACCCACCCCCTTCACCCTGCAGTCACCACACTCTTGTCTGTGTCCATGAGTTTTCTCTTTTCTTTTTTGCTCAATCCCTTCACCACCACCCCCTACACCCCCAACTGTCTGCCTACTCTCTATCTACGAGTCTGTCTCTATTTTGCTTGTTAAACCATACAGTCTTTTTGCATTTTCAAGTTAAAAAAAAAATTCTGGTGGAAACGTCAATTAGAAAATGGATGGGACATTTGGTAAAGATCTTTAATATGTGCACATTTTATTATGCTAGTAAAATACTTGCTTTCAATATTTCAATATTTTTCAAATGGAATATAATTTTCTCCAAAGTGTCCTTATTGGCACAAACTACTGATGTCCATTTTTATAAGCCATTTGGTCTAGTTTGATTCCACATAAGTGGAACACTGTGGTTTTAAGACAGAGGCCAAGTCCAAATGTATGTTTTATTAATGCGACCACCACTACATTCTCTCTGTGCTCATTTCTGACAAATCAGAATATCATAAACCAATGTCTCCCAAACATACCCAAAAGTATTTCTATATTTGATGCTTAAGTATATGTTTTCAGATCCGAAACACAGTATATGTTTTCAGATCCGAAACACAGTGTATGTTTTCAGATCTAAAACACTGTCCGGTTGTGAGTTCAGCTTATCAACAATGCTAATGATCTTAATTAACTGGGTTCATCATTCTTGGAAAATAAAAAACACAAAAAAGAGGGGGAAAGAACCTATGTTTACTTACTGCCTACTATGTGCCTGGGAACTCTGTATTTACATTTAAGTCTCACAGGAATCACTTAAGTCTCATAGCAACCACATGGCACAGATATTATTAATCCCAGTGAGCCAGAAGCTCGAAAGTTTAGGTCATTTACTTTCTCTTGAAATGCTAGAAAGTGACTGAGCTAGAGTTCAAATGTAGGTCCATCTCACTCCAGAGCCAATGCATTTTCTGTTAATCCAAACACATATTACCAAATTATACTAGTTTCTAAATAATCAGGCTTAATTTAGAAACTAGGATTAGTTTATCTTAAAGATATGGCTTAGAAGTTTATATTAAAAAGAAAACAAGAACACAATTCTCCTGATTGTTGGCTGGTGGTATTTGAATCATCCATGATAGAGCCTTATATTTCAGTCTTTAGAACTAGAGTTCAATTGTTTTTTTCTTTCCTATGTGCCCAAATGCTCTTAATATGTTCTTAATATGTATAAGCAACAGCTTGTAATTCATCACAGATAAGTTAACTAATAAGTTTAGAGCAATGGACAATTTATTTTCTGAACTGAAACAAATAAGAAACCTAAACTCAACATCTGACAACTTTTGGGGTCTCATGTACATTAAGTATAGGTGAAGATTACAGATGCTGACAGGCCAGAAGGAGCTACCAGTATTCTCTATTACTTAAAGTCATACCCCAAATCTGTGATCACATGTAATTTATGAATTTTCAAGAAGGCACAAGGAAGATCCTATATATTCATGAGCAGAAAACATATTCTGCCAGAACAGAATAGGGAGCTACCTATCTCAGTAGCCTACTGAGTGACCCATAGGCAATTTGTCGATAGGAGGAACAGTTACTTGGATTCTGAAAGACCTAAACATTTAAAGCTATCAACCACAATCCTCTGAAGGCTCAATTCCACAAATATTTGTTTCTCAGGCTTTAATGCATCTCAGCATAACTCCACTACCATTTACTAACTCCCGTCCTCATGTAGGGTTTAGATCAGTGGTCAGCAGACCTTTCCGTAAAGGGCCCGAAAGTAGGTATCTTCAGCTTTGCAGGCGCTATCAATGACTCAGCTCTGCCATTGTTGCGGGAAAGCAGCCATAGCTGATATAAAAGGAATCAACATGGATATTTTTTGATAAAAATTTTATTTGCAAAAACAGGAGGTAGAGTTGATCCATGGGCTATAGTTTTCTGACCCCTGGTTGTAAAAGGTGAGCAAGTTAACGGAAGCACTTTAATCCAAACGTAATTTTGACTATAGGGCAAGTTACTTTGTCTCCTGAAACATAACAGCCTATGCAGATCCAGTTTTACACAACATGAAAGTAATAAAAGAGATTGTAGTAGATAGTATTAAATAATTATTGATTTATAAAAATTATAATACCATTATTTTGTATTAATTTTCAAGAAGAGGAGCTGTATTAATTGAATGCCATGACTTCAGTTATATTTTTATATAACTACAGCAATTAGAAGAAGAAAAAAATTAGAGGAAGAATCATTAGAATTTTTTGAGGGTACTCAAATAAAAGGGAAGGTGATAAAAAATAGAATTCTGATTATAGGTTGAATTTAATGAAGGTATAGAACTACTTCCTAAAATAGGTTATTCTGGAGCATATTAGAACTTTGGTACTGGATTTAGGAGTTTGTTATAATGTAGTTTATGATAGTCTTTCATTACTAAATCTTCTCATTAACAATGGATTTCAACTCCTGCGCCAAAACCCAATATTTTTATTCTCATCTACCTAATCCATCTCACTGCAGCAGAATACAAATGACAAGCCATCCTTCCTTGAGATTTTTCTCATATTACACAGTTCTGTAACTTCCAGAAAATGTGCCTAACACTGTTTTTAATTAAACTAAAAACAGCAACAGGAAACAAGTTGTACTTACTTCAAGATCAGTTAAGTGTTTAGTCTCATTAAATCACAAAAGTATAAACAAACTAATTAGCATTCTTCATCTGTTCGACTGATTAAATTACACTATGAAACAGATGCACACAGTTCCAATACCTTGGAAACCTATGTTTGTCTTGTGTTTTCCTGCCAGGGATACAGAACAGGTTCCTCAGCTCAACCAGTGAGGCTTTTTATGTGCAACACCAGCGGTAACTTCACAAATGACTTGGTCACTTGCGATTCAACACATAACTTGTCACAGAAATGACAGTAAAATGTTAAGAAAAAAACACATTAATTAAAGTAATACATTTGGTAACAAAGGCTTGGCAAACAGTGGCTGTGTGTGTTCTCAGAATCTGGGAGAAATATTTGCCAAAGTTGATGATTAAACAGCCTCCAAATATACTGAATGCTCTCTCCCTCGTACTAGTAAGTGATTAACTGCTACGGTGAGAATAATGGCCCAGCTATTGGTCTCATATTAATAACTAGGTCGCCTTATTGTTCAGATGAAGGGGCTCTCCATCATTTCAACTCTAGGATTTAATTAAGCACAAAAATCTTGTTTTCTACAAGTAAAATGACCCAAGGAAAACACACCACAGGTACTCTCTGCTACAGAAAGCTTTTTTCACAACAGCAAGTCCTAAAGAACAGATTTTAAATTAGAAATGATGTGTGTGTGCAGGAGAACTTAAGAATTAAATCTCCATATTAAAAGAAAATACATATATCCAATGATCAATGTCAGACTTAGCACCTAGTCATGCCAAAATCTGTGGCTAAAGAGACATAAGTGGCCTTGGCTGGGTAGTCCACTTGCTTAGAGCACTGTTCAGGTATACCAAGGTTGCAGGTTCGATCCCCAGTCAGGGCACATACAAGAATCAGCTAATCAATGTGTAAATAAGTGGAACAACAAGTCTGTGTTTCTCTCATTCACTCTCTGAAACCCTCCTTTCTAAATTCAACAATAAGTTGCTAAAAGTTAAACTGCAAGAATCTGTTGGCCCTTAATAGTCAAATTCTTCATGCCATTTGCATTTTCTTTTTCATAATCTCCATGCCCAAAGATTCTTTGATACACTGGATTGTCTCCTAGTTCGTGTTCGTTCGTTCGTTCGTTCGTTCATTCATTCATTCATTCATTCATTTATTTTTCATTCTATTCAAAATATTTATGGATGGCTACTATGTGTCAGGCATTCTTCCAGATGCAGAGACAGAGCCGTGAGTAAAGGATATCACCTGCCCTCAGGGAGTTACCAATGCAGCGGGGAAACTATTTCAGACACATCAGTTCCAAGCGTGACCTGTGCTACAAAAAAGGGAGGCACACAGTGCTCTACAAGTGCAAATCAAGGATCCAAACTCAGTCCCAGGAGAAAGAGATATCTGAGCTGAACTGTAACTCTGAGACAGGTAAAGAGAGTTGCAGAGAGAACAGCATGCTTGGAGGCCAAGACAGCCTTAGTCATTTTCTAGTAACTGAAATAATTCCAGCCTGGCTAGAGCATGGGGTCAGGAAGAACAAGGCAGTGATGGTGAGATGAGACAAGCAGAGGCAGGATTTGGGGGGCTCTGTAAATCATGTTAAACAAATTAAAACGCTGTTCTAAAGGCAATCAACTGAATAATTAAGAAGTAAGAAAGTGAATAGATTAGATTGGGTTTTTAATAGGTTATTTGGAATGCAGAATGAGAAATAGGCCAGAGGTGCATAAATGGTTTATCTGGGTTGGACAAAGAGTGAACCCGAGAATAAAAAAGTAGATCAATTCCAGAAGTATTTCAAGGAGAGAATCCTCAAGCCTTGGCTAGTGACTAGACATGGGGGCTGAGAACAGGGAAGGTACATTCTCCTGACTTTGCTTCTCAGTACCACAGCCAAAGGAAGACTCTCAGGCCCTGCAAAACAATCAAAATAGTCCATAACACATTCCCATGACTTTGGTTACTGAATCATGACTAGGCTCAGATTTGGGGTTTTCAGGATTACATAACACCTTGTAGGAAGTTGGCATGTTCCAACTCTCCTGATAAAATCTCCTTTTGGAAAGGAATTCTTCCTCCTTAAAAAGCTCAGACATGGGAAAGCTGACTCCAATTTGTATTACAGAATAGAGCATTCACCTTCCCAACAACTGCA